TGCTCCAGCCCTTTGATCATCTTTGTGGCAGTCCTCTTCACACGCTTCAGCACTTCAGTGTCCTTTTTGTGCTGGGGACCCCAAAGGAGGTCGCAGTACTCCAGGTGAGGTCTCACCAGAGCAGAGTAGAGGGGCAGAATCACCTCCCTCAATCTGCTGACCACACTTCTTTTGATGCAGCCCAGGATACAGTTGGCTTTCTGGGCGGCAGATGCACATTGGTGGCTCATGTCCAGTTTCTCATCTAACTAGTACTCCCAAGTTCTTTTTCTCAGGGCTGCTTTCCAGCACATCATCTCCTATCCTGTAGCAGTATCCATAATGAGGATTGTTCTGACTCAGGTGTAGGACCATGGACTTAGCCTTGTTGAACCTCACGAGTTTCATCTGGGCCCACTTCTCTAGGTCCCTCTGGATGGCATCCCTTTCCTTTGGCACATTAACCTCATCAGCGAGCTTGGTATCATCAGTAAACTTGCTGAGGTTGCACTCAATCCCACTGTCAATATCATTAATGAAGATATTAAACAGCACTGGTCCCAGTACAGAGTCTTGAGGGACACCACTTGTCACTGTCTTCCACCTGGACATTGAACCATTGACCACTACTCTCTGGATGCGACCATCCAGCCAATTCCTTATCTACTGAACAGTCCACCCATCAAATCCATACCTCTCCAACTTAGAGAGAAGGATATTGTGAAGGACCGTGTCAAAGGCGACATAGTCTTGATATAGTATTTTGATATTATTATCTCTGTCCCCCTTCACATCTAGTTTAAAGCCCTGTCAATCAGCCCTGCAATCTCTTGGGCAAAGACCCTCTTCTCCCTTTGGGAAAGGTGTCCCCCATTTGATGCCAGCATACCTGGTGCCGTGTAGGTCATCTCATTATCAAAAAAAATCAAAATTGTGGTGCTGGCACCAGCCATGTGTTTATAGATTGTATCCTCCTCTCCCTTCCAATGTCACTGCCTGCAATCTGAAGGAAAGAAGAAAAAACAGCCTGCACCCCAGATTCTCTTGCTAGCCGTCCCAAGGCCCTGAAGTCTCTCTTGATTGCTTGCAGACTACAACTTGCAGCTTCCTCACCTCCCAGCTGGAAAATCAGTAGTGGGTAGTAACCAGTGGACCTTACCAAGTTGGTAAGTTTCCTAGTGATGTCCTTAACCCGAGGTCCAGGGAGACAGCAGACCTGTCTGTGAGGAGGATCTACTCAGCATATTGGACCCTTATTTCTTATTATTCTACAGGGGTGTTAACTGGCAAGAAATTAATTTCCCCAAGTCAAGTCTGTTTTGCTTATGATGGTAACTGCTGAGTGATCTCTCTGTACTTATCTTGTACCACAGACCTTTCCATCATATTTTCTTCCTCTGTCCAGTTGCGGAGGAGGAGCAATAGAGCAGCTTGATGGGCACCTGGTGGCTAGCTAAGCTTAACCATCACAGCCATCCAAGTATTAGCTAATCTGTTACAGTTGCATCCCTTCTAAAAAAATAAAAACAATAACACAGTTTAAAGTCAGACAGTCCAACACTGCATTTGAGCAAATGCAACTTGAAGTATTTTTATTGCAAAATAATAACACAAAATAGTACTTGGAAGTACTCTGTCTTAAACACAGCTTTACACAGCTTTAATCTGTTTAAGACTTTTTTCTTATATACAAGTTTAGGACTCAACACTGTTAACAATAAAACATTACATTTTATCACCATTATCAGTTCAGTTGACAAAGTAAATAATATAGTCCATCCTTTGCTCTTCATGCTGTAGCTTCATTTTTAATCTGGCTGATAAAAATGTAATAGATTGTATAGAAAATGTAAGAGTTAATATATTACTTATTCAGCAACAAAAGATTATTCAAACTCCCAGTTTCCTAGTTTATATATATATATAAATTCTATAACAAAGTTAACATATATCTAGCATACCAACTTTCTGAACAGTTTCATTAGTATAATTTCAACCTGACCTATGGTAATTAACAAAAATTATTTCTTCCTTCCTCCTCCCTGAAGCATGCATTTATTGTCCAGTAGTGTATGCCATACCAATAATCAATCTTTGCACACTACACATACTTAATCTTGTTAGCGATGCATCCACATTCTCTCCAACACGTTATTCCCCCATCTTTTTCCAGCAACCTGACCTCTCCTGAAGTTTGTTTGGTTTGGCTTTTTTAAATATCCATTCCCAACTGCTCCAAACAATACACAACATACAAATTACTTGACAAACACCACAGAGGTATTTAGCAAGTCTAAGTATGTTCAGTTATGATGTATTCAGTGACAGGTTCAGTTACTGAATGCGCAGTGTAACAGCTTATGCACCATAAACTCACTATTGCCACAGCATATAGCAAGTTCCTCGAACCATGTTTATCAGTGATTGGAAGCTCATAAAAATATTAGAGGCCATCATTGTCATTCCTATATGAACGTTTCAAATTGCATTCACCCATGCTCAATTACACTTATTAATCTAATGTAACTGCATCTTTATAGTTCAGTTTCGTACATAAAAATATGTTTATATTCTTTAAAATGTATGCATTCAATCAGATTTACATGAGCCAAAGCATAATTGATTGAAGCAACTCTAAAGAATAATGCACTGTTGATACTACTCAACAATATCTGAGGGTTACACAGTTAACAGTCACTACAAATCCACTTGTGTTGTATGAACTAGTATTATGGATGTACCCATAATATCTGCTCAGTTGGCTGGCTTGCCAAGTATGACAGTCTTAGGGTTTTCAGTTCCTATCACATGGAACCCAGGCTTTCTATGTTACCATGCTGTGGCCTGCTGATCTAAAATTAAAAAAAAAAAAGGTATCAATTTAACCTGCAGTGTCATTTCTCTGTCTGCACATGAGCGGATGACATCACTGTATATTAGAAACTAATGCCACCAACACATCTGCTTTCGCTGATGTTTTGCCCCGTACTCCTTTAGTTACTTTTAGTTTGTTTGTTTTATCATTACATAACAGTGGATTCACCCATTATTTCAAAAGATCCAATTTCAAGGAACTTAAAAATTATACCTTATGATGACTTAGAGTAATGAGCAAACATGTATAAGGATGGTAATACATACATATGAAGAGATACAGATCTATACAATCCTTGCAGTATTTTCATATAAAAGGATTAGCTTCTTGAAAACTTGGAATGGGATAAGCAGATTCAAATTCCAGTAAACTCACTTACTTCCTTCCCTCAGCTTTTTTACTTCCTGCATTATATCACTATACACATAGGATAAAAGCTCCTCCTGGGGTTTTGTTCCATCCAAATAAACTAAGAAAGACAAAAGCAAATGTTTTCATGAGTTCTACACCAGTTATCTGAAATAGCAATTGGCAAAGTTTTCAGTATTCCTAAGGGTGCAGTTGAAGAGATGAAAAAATAAAAAGCAAGAACAGTACCTCCCTTTTATTCTTTCCCAAATTCATTTTGCATGTTAAAAACAACATAACGGAAAAGTATTCTAGTTAAGAATTAATTTACAAATTTTTGTCATATAAAAGTCTCCATAAGGGTAGTGCTAATAACATTAGCACAGTAAAGCAATGGAATAATTCAGCAGAAAGGATTCTATGCAGTGGAAGACCTCAGGTTCTTCCTCAGCTTCAGGGTTTGAGCAAGTCAAGCAAGGGCACTGTGGTTCCCACACTCACTGCAGAGCAAGTAGCTGTGCCCTGTACTTCATGATGAGGTAGCAGCCACGTGATTTCTCTTTCCTCTGGCCCTAACTCCAGTCCAAAAGCTGTACAAGTGTGAGCATCACACAAACTCATGGCAGTGCCCCATTAGCTGCCTCAGCTTTGACACTTCTCAGGCAAGACTGATGACTGTAGTGTGTGCAAAAAGGACCTAGGAAGTATCTTAATCTTATTATAGGACTTCAAACAGGAATTTAATTCTGTTCTGAAGAATTCTGCCAATGCGTCATCTATCATCTCAGAGGATTCCTATTTAGCCACATGCATGTATGCACACATGCACACACAGACTAGCTTGTTAAAGGGACTTAATTAGTGATTAGAACATTTCTGGTTTTAAATCCATATTTTTCGTCATTAAAAAGCCCCAAAGACTTGAAAAATATAGCAGCAAAAGGTCCAAGCCTATTGCCCAAGTGCCACAAAAATATTTGAAGAAAATATTGTCACATACAAAAAGGACTCATAAGCCAACAAAAGCTGCACAAATGCTACACTTAAGCAATTTATACATTTAAAATTAAAGATGCCATACCAAGGTTACTTGCATTCTCTTCCAGTCCATCTTTATATTTCAAATACATAGGCCACACGTGTCCATCAAAGTAGCCCGGTGTATCTGCTGGCTGATAGACTCTGGTGCTACAGAAAAATATATTTATTTGTTTTCCCATACAAGTTTTACATTTTTGCACTAGTGTCAGTTGGTTTAATAAGAGCATCTATCCAAAACAAAAACAGACTGGCAGGCTGCATAGCTTTTCAAGCAAAGACTCCTTTGTTTTAATATAATCTGTGATATGAACTCTTGCTAATTTAGCTATTTCTGCCAATCAAATCTCATATAAGCTACAAATTTTGTTAATTGAAAAAGTTATTAAATATAAATTAAGCCGTATTGAAAGTGTTACCAAAATAACTTTTTTTTTTTTTTTTTTTTTACGTGCTATACAGATTTCTCAAGTTTTAAATGACTAGCGGTTTTGTTTAATCACTTCAGCCTCAACACTGAAGTCCTTTGAAGGTGAGTCTAGTAAGAAATGAAGAAAGTGGAATCAACCAAAGCCAGCTGAATAGAGGATTCCTTCAGTCAGCCAGCAGATTCTGACTTCATGCACATGTACTGCTCCAAGCACACAGTATTGCTCCACATGTGGAGGCGAGTCAGACACTGGCTCAGTAATCTAAATCAGATATATGGTACAACTAATGCACTGTGCAAATTAAGTATACACTAAAACCACACATAAACGTCGTTACTTTAACAATAATCATCATGTAGCTGTTAAGACTGCTTAGTATTTTTTAACTGTTTATCATTTTAAACATGGTTTAACTCCAATATGCCGTCAGTAATTGAAATAATTTGTCTGGACAACAATTTTCTTTTCAGTGTTTGTAAAACATTTAACACTTTAATATTCCTGTGCTCTAAAATGCAAGTCCTTGCCCCTAACCCACACACCTCTGCATACTCTTTTTAAAATAGCCACACAGTCTTCCCTGGGAATCACAGAGGACAGGTGATCTTAAGAGCTTACATTTGGCAAGCACTGAAGAAAAGCTAGTACAAAAGAACCACTCCAGGTTAGGGGGTACAGTAACCCTCTGTGAGCAATAACTAAATAATCTTACCTCCTTCTCCTTTTGCACTCTTCATAAGGAAGGGTCAAAAAATACCTTCTATTCCATAGTTCATTAAGTGGCCTAAGATAATAACATATTTAGTTTCCTCTTCCTTTTTAGTGCAGCTTTTAGTATACTAGGTTACATACTACCGCTTACTCATAACTGTATAGCAGAAAGCCTTCAACAATCAAAATATAAACATCTGTATTTTTCAAACTGTCACACTTATTCTGCAGATCTTCCATCACAACACCTGAGCTTGTCGGGCTTTTCATCCAATTGCGAATACTTTTCACCATTTCATCCATATAGAGGGCATCAAGTACTGCATGAAAACAGAAAGTTAGGCATCCCTTAAAAACAGAGAATAAAAACAAATAAAGAACTGTTAAGTACCCTGAGGTTCATCAGTAAGAACCAAATAATCTACATACAAGTCTAAATGAAAGGGAATGGGATTACCCCAAAAAATCTCTGTCATGCATGTAAGTAGGTCCATGTTTGCAACTGATTATACCCTGAAACTAAAGCTTTCCCCAGGATTAGGGTATTTTTGGTGGGTGAGGTCTCTGTGAACAAAGTGGCACCAAAAAGTGTGTGAACTCACTGCACAGTCTTTCCCTTGACAATAGAAACTGCATGGACTGTTCTCCTATTCCACAGAACTTGTAAAAAATTACTCGTGAGACCTCCACCTTTCTGTCACTTGTCACTGACACAAGTGAAGAGATGCTCAAAAATTTTTGCTTTGGGTTTTTATTTGGTTTCAGGCATTTGGAAGGTGGGGATGGATGGATTGGATTGAAAGTAGGATTGCATACAAAGCAAAACAGCACAATGGAGCACCTATTTTTGTCTGCAGACATGTGAGAACATATCAAGTAAATACTGAATGGTAGAGAGAAGGCAGTCTTTGGATAACATAAGAGCAAACATAAGAGGTATTTTTAAGAGCAGCATTAAACCCAGATGTTTGAACCAGAATGTCCAGTTTATCACTCCAGCTTCACATTCCAGTTTCATGAAGTTTAGAAGTTGAGCCGAAGACTGCATAGCTAATAAGAGTCAGTTTTCAGACACAATTTAAGGTTCTGGCTAATGTTCCCATGTAATATGTGTGATCACCAAGTATCAACAAAGATTAGCTAATAATCAACTGTTCACAACTTGATATGACCTGAACCTAAGCACTGGCCTAAAGTGGATCTGGAACTGGAAGTTTATAAGACTAAATTGGCATGTTCAGCCGGCATTAACCATGAACTTCAAAACATTTTGTCTCTATGTGAGATCTGACATGAAATAAAGGTGTCAGTATCATATGACAATGAAAGAGACTCAATGGTGATATCCCATGAGCTCATTATCAAAGAGGAAAAAAAAATCCATCATTACATAGTGACGAAGATAAGCTCATGCCAGTACTGCAAGCCAAGACTTTGAACTGAAGCTTGCTATATATATAAATTGAAAATTTGAACATTTGCTAGTGCACCAGACAAGACTGTAGAAATAGAGGAAAATAGTAAAAAGAGAAAAGGAAAAACCTAAGCACTAGCTTGATCTATTTACTAATTCAGCATGTTTTCTTATTTATCTTAGTGATCTGAAAGAGCAATCCTTTGCTCTGTTTAACTACCATTTGTTTACTGCCTTGTTCAGAAGGGAAGAGGGGCAGGGAGTAGAGCAGAAGAAATGTTGAAGCTCAGCACAACAGAGTTTGAGTACAATGTCCAAAAGCAATGCATCAAAGTTACTGACCATCATAGAGCTTAAATCCACGTTCATCTGTTTCCACTTCAGACTCAGGCTGAAGGGGAAAAAATTGAATATTTTTAAGGCTGCTTTTATGACCACTTTCACAAAGATATATTTTTCAGTTACAAACATATAGGTTATACACCTTTGTATCCCAATTGATAAAATTTATCTTCAAAATTAAACTGCTGTATACAACTATTAAAATACAGTACAAACACCTTATTTAACCTAGAACAAAAAATTGTCTAAATTCTACTTCTTAAGTTCATCAGAGTTTTACTTCAAAAATAAGAACTGCTTCACCCTTCTTAACAAACAACTCCGATGTCAATGCAAAAGTTGTTTTTCTGTTCTGATTTGGGAAACAACTATCTATTGCTGTATGGGTGTAGGGTTAACACAACAATATAATTAACTTCATAAGCACAAAGTATCTTGAAAATTGCAATCACACACCTGTTCTTTATTTTAAAGAACTATCAAAGAAGACAGTAAGCTTCTTTTTGCTGAGTATACTCAGTGGGTTTGGCCACTGAAAGTTCAACTACTCCAGTGTTCATTTCATTTCTCTTTCTCATGAAAATATCACTATTTTAAGCAGCATCAATTTTAAAAGTTTATCAATAGAAGTACTGAAAAGAGAAGAAATTCTACTAGAATCTACTCAAGCCTACTTTTACTTATCAGGTCTTTCCATCAATACTGTTACCTTAAAGAAGTCATCTTGAGAGATTATATCACAGTTGGGAAGCATTTTCTTAAGCTTTTGTGCCAGTGTTGTCTTCCCCCCATTTGTAACACTGAGTTAGAAAACATGGTAAAAACTGCATCAATACAAAAATCTATCCTTAAAACATATGTACAAGCTCACACACATTTCTATATAGTTAGGGTAAACCACAACAGCACAATCCAAAAACCCCCAAAAGCTTATTCATACTAAATACTCTCTACATCTAGAAATTCCGACAGCTTTCAAACAGTAAATTTAGCAATGCCAAGAAAAAGGTTAGAGAGAGCTGATAACAGATCTCCAACAGAGACAGGAAGAATTTCTTAAAACATACATGCCATAAAATAATTATATAATTTGTAATTATTTTTTTAAATCCATTCATAACTAGAAATTACATCACTTCATTCTGAAAGAAAAGCTAGCCTTGAGCTGCAGAGGAAATTTAATTTGCTAATACTTACCCTCCAAGGCCAATAACTAATACCTTCATAGTTTGTTTTCTCCTCAGTTCTTCCTTTTCACTGTCAAAGATACAAGCCAGTGAAAACTCTTAATCTGACAACACAGAAAGAAGTGATGGTATTCATACCAATTATAGATAAGATTTATTTTCTGTCCTTTTTTTTGTTTTTGCAAAGCTACTCTCAGAACCTCAACTGCTTGTTCTAATGCTAACAAAAAACCTGCAACACACATGCCACATCAGACATTTCAATGAGTTTTAGCTTAGACAGTATTTTAGTCATTTGGGGAAACTTAAAGAGACCTAGTTTTATCAGTATTTATACCACAGAAACCCCTAAAGAAAAGCATAATCACTAGCTCATGCATTAATGGAATAAAAAAGATGAGACAAATAGAAGCTGTAGTGGCTTAAAAAAAACCCCAAACCCTTAAAAAAGAATGCAGCCATGTGCTGAGGAGAAAGACGTTTTAAAAATTTCATTAAAGGTTGTAACAAAGAGTTCAGTAACTCTTTTACAAATCTAGTCTCAACAGTGCAAGAATTCACTGCTCCCTTGCTGTGAGAGTCAAGAGCACAGACCATACAAGTGCTCCTCATCTGCTCCACCACAGAACAATCTGTAATCATCAAAAATACTGTAAAGGCAATTTAAGCCATCCTAGCTGATCTAGCACTGAGAAAAACTAGGTAGCAGCTGATCTTCCCCCAAAAAGATCAAAGACTGAAAAAGGTTATATTTGAAAAGGTTACATGAAAAGGTTACATTAAATACACCCACACCCCTACAGTGCCAAGAAACAAACCCCAAGGTTGTGGCTGGCGGAACATCTGCAGCTGTAAGAACTGCAAGAAGATACAATCCTGTCTTCCCCAACTCAGTCCCAGAACTTTCTTCTGGAGCAGATGTTTGCAGAGTCTATAGTAGACTATACTGGAAAACTACTCCAGCTGAAAAACAGTTCTGCAGAGGCAAAGCGAGGGGAGTGTCAGCTTTCAGCTGAAAAAACTCCCTCCAGTTCATCATACCCATGCCTGCAAAGGTATGGTGTAGCAGAAGGACAGGTAGTAATGTGGATTCTTGACAGCAGCACTAGTCTACAGTTTGTCAAACCAACTTTCCAAGACCACACACAAATTAAAAACTATGTAACCACACACAAAAACCCTGGTTTTCACCTGCTCTGTCCTCCAAGGTCGCACTTAACTGCCTATGACAGTTAAGACCTGAAAGGAATGAGCAGGTAACACCATCTCCTCTCCCCAAAATACAAGCATCTGTACTATACTAGATAAAAGACTGTTAGAGGGCCTCAGTATGAAAGTAAAACCACACCATTTCTGTTAAGTTTTAGACATACAAAGAGTCTGAAAAAATAATACCCTTTGGATTTGGTGCAAGGACTGCAAGTTCAACTGTTTCAAAGGTCTATAATGTGACCTTTGCATGGTTGCTTTATATGTTTTTTTCAGTTAGTGGCGAAAAAAAAAATACATACTGACTAGTTGAAGAGTCGTCACCAGTATGATAGCCGTTGCTCTGCAATGGTGCTGCACACGTATAGGAGTTGGTACTTCCAAGTTTTATAAGATAGCATGTGAACATTGCTAACAATATGATAAATCTCAAATTCAGTGAGACATCACATGCTTATGGTATTGGCTATCAATTCAAAGAGTGCAAACAGATGATCTGCTCTCAGGAAGTGATGATGCTCAGCCATTTAAAAAAAAATTAACCCAATGCTCTTTTCTAAAAATCATCAGTAAGGTTTGTGTTCCAGACAATTAGCCTTTGTCCCACAAAAAATGCTATGTAACAAACTAAGTAACATTTTGACACACACGCTGAGCTTTGGACTCTAATTTACATAATTGTCTGCATGAAAGTTAATCTCAGTTTAAGGCAAAAAACATCAGGATGAAAAAAGCCACCAACTCTTCCTCCCCCAAGAGTAATGTGTAACACAAACTGCAAAAGCTAATTTGTCACCAATGTTGCAACACAAAACTCCTGAATCACTCTGCTTGGGGATGGTTTAGTGTCCTTAGACAGAACATATACCCATTATAACCCTGCCACCAAATTGCTGTCACCTCGTTTTTAATGGCACAGCGTGACAAAGCTCCAGCACACGGCAACAACCGGAGCTTGCTTCCTTCCAAACACCGCCAAACCTGATCTCTGCCGGGCCCGGGCTGGTAGCGGCTCCGAACGGGGCACCGGGGGGGCCGCCCATCGCCCGCCACAGAGCCACACAGCACTCCCGACAGCTCACAACGGTTCAGCGTCTCGGGGGTTAGCATTTAACTTCATCCGCTGCTTAAAGGCACCGGGAGGGTAACGCAGAAGAAACCGTCCCGGCTCCCTCGCAGGCGGAGCCCCCACCTCTTACGCCCAGTTACGGAGCTGTCCAAGGCGGGACGATCAGAGCGGAGCAGGGCACGAAGCTCCTGAAACACAC